GAAAAATTTGAACTAAGGCCCGCAGTGTTGGTTCCCCTTATCAATTAGCGGGAATGATTACAAAACTACGCCTGGGTTTTGCGGCGGGTTAGAAATACACTTCGCCTGAAGAAAGCATCCAAAAACTCAAACGGGGCGAAACAGTCGATCGCCAATTGCCACACGTCACGAGCCATTTTTTCTAAAAGTAGAACACAATAAGAGCCAACAGCCCTCTGCCGGACAATAAGGCATAAGCGAACAACTGCGCTCAACAAGTACTGTCCTACATCGTCAATCTAATTAACTGCACAGTCTGATAGCAGTGAATCGACAGAAGAGCAGCCAGGCGCTAGCAGTTCTGATCTCTGCTAAGTCTACGACTAGTTCGGTTGGGTCGCTTTTTGGGAAAACAGGCAAATATTATTGATGAGGGTGGCCAAATATGAGCGAGTAATGCGTACATTGACGTAGAATTATCGGGTCGCAGTAGAGTGTCGTCCAACCGAGTCAACTCAGATAGCGAATCGAGTCGGTGTTTGCATCACCGAGACCTTTGAAGCAGCTGGCGTCACTCACGGAAACGGACTGATAGACAGTCTTTGCCTAAGAGAAGTTGGCTGGAACCAGCCAACCAATAAACCAGACACAGGTTGACAAAATAGAAGTGGTATAAGCTAACGATGCATGAGTGTCATGCATCAGGATCCTGTGCGTTTTGCAAAGAAGCTGTTCTCAACTTAGCTATGGACGTTAGGCTTCCACCTTACTCCCTTTCCAAAAATTTGACCTTGTGGTTAAATGTAAAAAAACGGTAAATCCGACAAAATAACTTGAATAGCTGTAAAGTATGTCAAATTTAAAACAGTTCGCCATACATAAACAAAAGGCACCTGAGCTGATCCAGGGCAATGAACTACCCGTACACTTGGCGGCTGCCCTGGTTTTAAAGGCGGCGCGCTAATAGGTGGCGGCTGTTCGCTGATTGGCTTATTGTTCGACGCGCGGGAGTTTGAATATTGCACGCTTGCGGGACGCTATGGATGCT